TTGATGGTTATAGAGAGAGGCTATATTGGCTTATGAAACAAAAGGATACAGCAGCACTACAGGACATCTGCTTAGGTAATAAAACCAGACTGGGACAGGAAGGGACAGAGTGTAGAAAACATTTTTAAAAATCAGCAAGTAGGATTAAAGTGGAAAAAATTGCATAAAGGTAAAATTAATGGTTCTTTACTTAAATGTACATAGTATTTGGGACATAATAAATGAATTAATGGCACAAATAGAGCTTAATAGATTTGATCTATTAGCCATTGCAGAGACATGATTAGAAGGAGATTAAAGCTGGAAACTGAGGGATATAGTGGTTAGATAGAACATAGAACGTAGAACAGTATAGGCCCTTCGTCCCACGATGATGTGCCGAATTTTTATCCTAAACCTAAGGTCTATCTAACCTCCACCCCTACCTTATACTATCATCCATATGCCTATCTAATAGCCGCTTAAATGCCTCTAATGATGCTGACTCCACTATCCTCTCCGGCGATGCATTCCACTCTCTGAGTAAAGAATCTACCTCCTATATCTACCTCCACTCACTTTAAAACTATGCCCCCTCGTAATAGCTACCTCCACCCTAGGAAAAAGTCTCTGGCTGTCCACTCTATCTATACCTCTGATCATTTTGTACACCTCTATCAAGTCACCTCTCATCCTTCATTGTTCTAAAGAGAAAAGCCCTAGCTCTCTCAACCTTTCCTTGTAAGACCTTCTCTCCATTCCAGGCAACATCCTGGTAAATCTCCTCTGCACCTTTTCCAACGCTTCCACAACTTTCCTGTAATGAGGCAACCAGAACTGGACACAATACTCCAGATGTGGCCGAACCAGGGTTTTGTATAGCTGGAGCATAACTTCATGGCTCTTGAACTTAATCCTTCTATTAATGAAAGCTAACACACCATACGCCTTCTTAACAACTCTATCCACCTGGGTGGCAGCTTTCAGGGAACTGTGGACATGAACCCCAAGATCCCTCTGCTCCTCCACACTGCCAAGAATCTTTCCGTTAACCCTGTATTCTGCTTTCAAGTTTGTCCTTCCAAAATGAATCACCTCACACTTTTCAGGGTTTGACTCCATCTGCCACTTCTCAGCCCAGCTTAGAGGGCAAAAACTTTGCAGGTGAAATATAAGGTGCAAAAATGTGAGAGTATGCACTTTGGCAGGAAGGATAGAAAAGCTGAAAATTTTTTAAATAGAAAAATACTGCAGAAAACCGTGGCACAGAAAGATTTGTGGTAGCTTGCACATAATCAGAAAAGGCTAGCATACAGGTAATGGGGAAGGCAAATAGATTTTGGCCTTTATTTCAAAGGGATTGGAGTATAAAAGTAGAGAAGTCCTGCTAAAACTATATAAGGCACTAGTTAAGACCACACCTAGAATGCTGTGAACAGTTTGGTCCCGTTATCTAAGGAAAGTCTAATGGGATTGGACGCTGTCCAGAGAAGGTTCACTAGGTTGATCCTGGCTATGAACAGATCTTCTTATGAGGAAGGTTAAGTATTGGGCCTGTATTCATTGGATTTTAGAAGAATGAGAGGCGGCCTTAATGAAAAATTTAAGAATTTTAGGGGACTTGACAAGGTAGATAGGAAAGGATTGTTTCCCCTTGTGGGAGAGCCTAGGACCAGAAGGCATAATCTTGCGATAGGGGATCACCTGCTTAGGACAGAGATGAAGAGGAATTCTTTTCTTCTAAGGATAGTGAGTCTTGGAAATTCTTTACTGCAGATGGCTGTTGAGGCTGGGTAGTAGGAACATTCAAGGCTCAGACAAACAGATTTTAAATTTGTAAGGTGATCAAGGATTATGGGGAAAAGACAGGGAAATGAAGTTGAGGATTTTCAGATCAGCCTTGATCTCATTGAATGGTGATTAGGACATGATGGGCCGAATGGCCTGTTTCCGCTCCTGTGTCTTATGGTTTTATTCATGGATTTTGCCTCTTCCTTGCTATACACATCCATCAGTGGCCACTGTATTTACATAAGAATATATGAAAAAGGACCAGTTATGGCCCATTTAGTTCTTTAAGCCTGCTCTGACATTCTACTCTCAGTATTCCAGGTGTGGTTTCACCAAAGCCTTGTACAATTGCAGGATCTTTTATTCTTGTAATCCAAGCCCTTTGTAAGGAAAGCCTAAATGCCAATTGCATGAGCCATTACTTTATGTACCTGTATTCCTTGTATGAGTGAACCCAAGTCTGTCCTAACCTCAACATTTCAAAGTTTCATGCCTTTGAGAAGTATTCTTTTACTGTTTGGATGGAAGTGAATAACATCATACTTCCGTACATTATCCACCATCTGCTACCTTGTTTCCCAATTTTCTAACCTGTCAATTCTCTTTGCAGCTACTTTGTGTCTCCTCTCACATTCCAACCCAGTTTTATGTTGTCAGAAAACTTGAATACACCACCCTCACTTTCTTCATTTACATCATTAATATATGTTGTAAATAGCTGAGGCCCAGTGATTCTTGTGTTACTCTATTAGTTACAGCTACCAGCTGGAAGATCCCTGTTTAACCTCACTCATAACGTTATGCATAACCTTCCTGTTACCCCTAACTTGATGAGTCCTATGTTACACATTAATGTTTTGTGTGGTGTCAGGACTTACCGGAGTAGTGCACTAGAAATCAAGCCCCATATTCCTGGGGTTGTCACAAATGTGAAAATTTGATTAAGTCACCAAGTGGCCCAATTCTACCTGGCTGTCTATTTCAGGTTAAATGAAGAGACACCAGGTCTTTTTCCCATGAACAAGAAAATTACTATTTATTATAATCAACTGTGCTTTTAACCATTGGTAAAAAGTAGACAAGTTGAATTGTTAATCTATTACTGCATGCAAATTCTCAGTATTTCATTCACTGGTTGAGAATTCACCTTTGCAGTATCTCGATAGGTTGTTTTCCCTTTCCTCTTTTAATTTGGAGACAGAGAGCACCTTCCGGGGGAAAGTTGATGGACAGTAGCTAGCTACTTGGGATTTTCTTTTACTACTCTATCCAGAAGGGAGAAAAAGACCAATGGATGCTTTCTATCAGGAGCAGGTGTAGGCTATTCGATCCTTGAGTCTGCTCTGCCATTCATTATGATCACGGCTGATCATCCAACTCATTAGCCTGTTCCTGATTTCCCCCCATATTAATTGATCCCTTTAGCCCTGAGTGCTATATTCAACTCCTTGAAATCGTACAATGTTTTGACCTTGACTGCTTTCTGTGGTAGCAAAATTCACTGGCTCACCATTCTGAGAGAAAACATTTCTCCTTATCGCAATTTACCCTGTATCCTTAGACTGTGACTCCTGGTTCTGGACAACCACATCATTGGTAGATTACTTCCTGCATCTATCTTATCCAGTCCTGTTAGAATTTTATAGGATTCTATGAGATTCCCCCTCGTTCATCTGAACTCCAGCAAACATAATTCTAACTGATTCGATCTCTTCTCATACATCAGCCTTGCTGTCTCAGGAATCAGTCTGGAAAATCTTCGCTCCACTCCCTCTATAGCAAGAACATCCTTCCTCAGATAAGAAGACCAAAACTGCACACAATATTCCCTTTATAGTCTCAACCATGCCCTGTATAATTGCAGCAAGACATCTCTGCTCTAGTATGAAATCCTCTTGCTATGAAGGCTAATGTTCATCTGTCTTCTTTAACCCCTGCTGCACCTGCATGCTTACCTTCAGTGAGTGATGTACAAGGACACCCAGAGTTCATTGCACATTTGCTCTCTCAGTTTGTAGCCATTGATATAATAATCTGCTTTTCCCAGTTTTTCTACCAAAGTGGATAATTGAAAAGCCGATCAAAAAACAGTCTCTGCGCAGAATTGCCCTGAACATAGGTGGTGCAGATTTTTCTAGTCTTGCCCCTCACCGCTCCCGTAAGGCAACTTCGTATCTAAAACTCAATACTCCAGTAATGTGTTTTTAAAACAAATAACTTCTTACACAGTTTCCATGTTTCAAAGCATTATGTATTCCCATTTTTAGTCCACAGTTCAAAAAAAGAGGTCTTTGCAATCACACTGCATCAAATACTTCTTGGAAATTCAAGTATGTGACATCTACTAGTTACATCCTCAAAAACAAACTCTAATAAATTTGCCAATGACTTCCCTTGCATACAAACATTGTTAAGACTTCCTTAATAATAGATTCCAGCACGTTCTCAATTGCCGATGTCAAGTTAACTGGCCTTTGTCTCCCATTTCTCTATCTCCCTCCTTTATTATTACGTGTGCTAACTTCCAATCTGCTGGGACCATAGTAGAATTTAGGGAATGCTGGAAATTCATAACTGATGCATCCACTCTAACTGCAGTTATCTCTTTTAGAACCTCAGGAGAGAGGCCATCAGGTCCGTAGCATTTGTTTGATTTTAGTTCTTTAAGTTTCTCCAGTACTCCTGAATATCCCAGGCAAGAGTGTTTCCGAGCTCCAACTTTCTTCTGAGTGTTCTTAGGCTTCCCTTTGTAAATTGAGCATAATTACATTAATTTAAGATCCATCAAAAGATTGCAAATGGCGATCTGTTAGGTTAAAGCAGAGAAGAAAATAAATCCTCTTGAATTGGTTGGTTACGTGATTTTTGAAGTGAAGTTACAATCTTATATTTACTCAATTACACTCTTTAGAGAAGAATTAAAAGTGAATCATTACACACTGACAATTGTACAGATGTCATTTCTTATAATAACATTTTCTAAAGGAAATCTTGGACCTATAATGGACATAACACTGATCAATAACACAAATGTTTAAAAATATTATTGCTTTTAGGAATTGCAGCACAAGTAGGAATTGGTTGAACTCGAAAGAAAGTTATACATATGATGAATAAAATTTGTGCTTTGTAATGTAGTAAAAGCGACTCTGAAATCTGTTGCAATTCTCTTTCCATTCAAATAAGTTTGCAGAAAGAAACATTTTGTGTATTTTAATTCAACATTTTAGGTCGGTACAGAGTCCAATGTGATCAATTTGAAGACATCTGGCTAATAACAAAAGAACTTATTCAACGTTTAGAAGAATATTTTGTGAGGGAAGGAACCAAAGACTTCAGGTGCATGTTCCCCGGACCTCTTCCTTTGCAGGAATACTTTCAACTAATCGATCGCCATTTTGAGGTCTGTTTGTCTTAGCTTAATGTTAAATATATTGCTATCATAGTGCAGATAACGTCATAAATTTAGAGTTAATTTCATTTTCTCTTCTGAGCAAGTACTCAGCTAAAAGAGCAGTTTTTAATTTTAAATTTGAAAAACAGACCAGAGTGAAGTCCCCTCTGTTATTTTTGTAGTTGCGGATAAATGCTGAAAAGTATAAGGAGCTTCTTTCAGAAAGGGCTGTGCAGTACAGAGCTATTCAACGCCGACTTTTAACGCATTTCAAAGACAAAACTCCTACACCGCTACGTAACCTGGATACTCTACTGGATGGAACATATCGACAGGTTAGTTTGTTTAGAAAATTATCTAACAGTTACTCCAAAGTATTCCATGGTTATTGCTTTTCACACACTAATCATTCCAATGTTTTGGTGTTAACCCACAACGATTATTGTATATATGTGATCAGGAGCGTACTGGCGTAGTGGTGATATCACTGGACTAGTCATCTAGACACCCAGGCTAATGCTATGGGTACATGGATTCAGGTCCCACAGTGGCAGCTGGTGGTATTTAATACCAATTAATAAAGCTGGAATATGCAGCTAGTTTTGGTGATGCTGACATTGATTATTGTAGACACCCATCTAGTTCACTAAGGTGAAGGAAACCTGCCATCCTTATCTGATTGAGTCTACCTGTGATTCCAGACCCTCAGCAATGTGGTTGATTCTTACTTGCTTTCTGAAATGGCCTAGAAAGCCGTTTAATTCAAGGGCAGTTAGGGTTGCCAACGTGCTTGCCAGCAATGCCTATTATCCCATGAAAGAATAAAGAAACAAAAATGACAGTATCTGTGGGGAATGGTGGTTGGCAGGGGATGAGAACGTTTATATTGAGTTTCCCCAAGACCAGTCTTGCTTTTCTTGATATACATCAATAAATTAGAATTTGGTGTATAGGGTACAATTCCAAAATTTATGAGCCATACATTGTGAAGTATTGTGAGCTATGAGGATAGATTTAAACCATAAAAAGGTACAGACTGACTGGTAGGTAGAATGATTAAACTGGTAGCAGATAAAATTCAATGGAGAGAATTGTGAAGTGATTCATTTTGGAAGAAAGAGAGAGGAAATGAAGAAATAAAGGATATAACTTTAAAGTGGGTGGACTGGCAAGAGGACTTAGGGTTTAGTTTTGCAAGTCATTGAAGTAGGTAGGGTAGGTTGAGAGTACTGTTAATAAAGTGTCTGATTTTTTTAAATAGCGAACAGAAGCAATAGAATTTTGATGAAGCTGCATCAAACACTCGTTGGTTTCAACTGGACTATCGTAGCAAACTCTTGGCACCATGTTTTAATAAGCATGTGAAAGCATTAAAAAGGAGCCAGAAACGACTTACAAGAATGGTTCCAAGAATGAGAAACTTTGCTTGTGTGTAAAGCTTGTGAACTCTGGGGCTGTGCTATTGAAGAAGAGATTGAGAAGAGATTTGAACAACTCTGAATTTTTTTCATTCACTCGTGGGACATGGATGTCGCTGGCTGGCCAGGATTTATTGCCGGCCCTTACCTGTCCTTGAACTGAGTGGCTTGCTAGGCCATTTCAGAGGGCAGTTGAGAGTCAACCACATTGCTGTGAGTCTGGAGTCACTTTTAGGGTGAGGATGGACCACGTGATGATGGCAAATTTCCTTCCCTGGAGGACATTAATGAGCCCAATGGTTTTTCCGACAATTGGCATAGTTTCTTGGTCATTAGTAGATTCTTAATTCCAGATTTTTTTTTATTGAATTCAAATGCCACTACCTACCATGGTAGGATTTGAACCTGAGTCGCCAGAACATTGGCTGAGTTTCTGGATTAATAGTCTAGCAATAGAAAGGAAGAACATGTTCCTGCTGGTGAAATGATCGAGAACCAGAGGACGCTAATTTAATGTGATTGGTAAAAGAAGCAATGGCAACATGAGGAAATTTTTTTGTGCACAAAATGGTTGGGATCTGGAATGCATTGACGAAGAATATGATGGAAACAGGTTTGATTGTTGCTTTCAAAAGGGAATCAGATAATTATCTGAAGGCAGAAAATTGTAGAGTTGTAGGGAAAGACAAGGGAATGAAATGATGTGAGCTTCCTTTGCGAAGACCCAGCACAGATGTGATGGATCAAATGGCTGCCTCCTGCACTGGAACCATTCTGTGATTCTGTTTCATGTGATAACTTGTGTGGATGGGATGGACAGCGTTGCTATCTTCCGGTGTAGTTACAGCTTTTTACGCTGTGTTTGATGAATTCATCTCTCATTGCAGCATTAAAGATTATAAAATATAGGAGCAGAATTAGACAATTTGATCCATCCAGTCTGCTCCACTGTTCAATCAAGGCTGATATGTTTCTCAACTCCATTCTCCTGTCTTGTCCCCGTAAGCCTTGATTACCTTACCAATCAAAAACGTATCTATTTCTGCCTTAAATACACTCAATGACTTGGCCTCCACAGCCCGTTGTGGCATTGAGATTTCACAAATTAACCACTCTCTGGCTGAAGAAATTCCTCCTCATCTCAGTTCTAATGGGTCATCCCTTCACTCTGAGGATGTGCCCTTGGAACCTAGTCTCTCCTACTAGTGGAAACATCTTGTCCATGTCCACTCTATCTAGGCCTCTCAGTATTCTGTACATGTCAATGAGAACCACCCCCAGTCCTTCTAAACTCCATCAAGTACGGACCCAGAGTCCTCAGCCACTCCTCATATGACGAACTCTTCATCCCCAGGATCATTGTTGTAAACATCCTCTGGACCCCTCTAAGGCCAGCACATCCTTCCTTAGATATGGGGACTAAACCCCCGTTCACAATATTCCAAATGTGGTCTGACCTGAGTCTTATACAGCCTCAGCAGTACATTTCTGCTCTTATATTCTAATCCTCTTGAAATGAATGCTAACATTCTCTTTGCATTCCTAAATGCTAACTGAACCTGTGTGTTGACCTTAACAGAATCCTGAACTAGGACTCCCAAGTTCTTTTGTGCTTCAGATTTCTGAAGCCTTTCCCTGTTTGGAAAATATTCAATACCTCTATGTTTTCCTATCAAAGTGGATAACCTCACACTTTCCCACATTGTATTCCATCCATCACTTCTTTGCCCAATCTCTTAGCATGTCTAACTCCTTTTGCAGCCTCCCTGCTATCTCAACACTACCTGTCCCTCCATCTATCTTTGTTGCATTTGCAAACTTAGCAACAATGCCTTCAGTTGAGATCATTTATGTCTAACATGAATAGCTGTGGTCCCAACATGGACCACTGTAGAAGTCCGCTAGATGCTGACTGCCATCCTGAAAAAGACTTCTTTATCCCTACTCACTGCTTTCTGCCTATCAGCCAATCTCTATCAATGCCAGTATCTTGCCCCTAACAATATGAGCTGTCACTCATGTCTCCTGTGCAGCACCTTGTTGAAGGTTTTTTGGAAATCCAAATAGATCACATCTACTGGCTCTCCTTTGTCTAACTTGCTCGCTACCTTCTCAAAGAATTCTAACAGATTTGTCAGGCAAGACCTCCCCTTGACGAAGCCATGCTGACTCAGCCCTATTTTACCATGCACTTCCAAGCACTCTACAATCTCATGTTTAATAATGGATTCTAAAATCTTAACAATGACCAAGGTCAGGCTACTGGCCTATTGTTTCCTGTCTTCTGCATCCTCCCTTCTTAAAAGGGGTGTTACATTAATTCATTTTCCAGGCCTTTGAAACCCTCTGACTCCAGTGATTGCTGAAAAATCATCACCAATGCCTCTACAATCTCCTCAGCTATCTTTTGAACTCTGGGGTGCAGTCCATCTCCTCTGGGTGTTCAGACCTTTCAGATTCCCCAGCACCTTCTCCTGAGTGATTGATACTACACTCACCTCTACCCTCTGACTCTCTTGAAGCTCTGGTATGCTGCTGGTGTCTTCCAGTGTGAAAACTGATGCAATGTACCTATTCACTTCCTCTGCCATTTCTCTGTTCCCCACTACTACTTCTCCAGCCTCATTTTCCAGTGATCCAATGTCCAGTCTTGTCTCTCACTTACCTTTAACAGATCTAAAGTAACACTTGCAATCTTATATTACTAGCTATCTTACTCTCATATTTCATCTTCTCCCCTTCCCCCCACTTCTTGTTCTTTTTTAGTTATCCTGTGCTGGTTTCTAAAGGCTTCCTAATCCTCTGGCTGCACACTAATCTTCACCACATTGTACATTTTCCTTTTGCTTTTATTCTGTCCCTGACTTCCCTTGTCAGCCATGTTTGCCTCATCCAGCTCTTAGTGTGTTTTTTTTCTTCCTTGGAATGGATTTCTGCTCTGCCTCCTGAATTACCCCCAGAAACCCCTGCCATTGCTGCCCCACCATCTTCCCTGCTAGGCTTCTATTCCAATCAATTCTGGTCAGCTCCTCCCTCATGTAGTTATCTTTACTCAATTGTAATACTGTTACACCTGATTCTAACTTCTCCTCCCAAACTGCAGGGTGAATTCTGTCATATTATGGTCACTGCTCTTGGGGATTCCGTCACCTTAAGCTCCCTATTCAGGTTTGCCTCATTACAGATCACCAAATCCAGAATTGCCTGCTCCCTAGTAGGCTCTACCACAAGCTGTTCCAAAAAACCATCTTGCAGACATTCCACAAATTCCTTTTCTTGAGATCCACTAGTAACCTGATTTTCCCAGTCCATCCTAGTATCGAAGTCCCCTGTGGTTACAGTAATAGTGCCTTTCTTACATGCCTTTTCTATGTCCTGATTTATTTTCTTCCCCACATCCTGCTACGAGGCCTTTACATAACTCCAATCAGGATGTTTTTTATCTTTGCAGTTCCTCAACTCCACCTACACAGATTCTACGCCTTCCGATTCTATATTACTTCTTGCTATGAATTTAATTTTATTTCTTACTAACAAGACATCCCCCTCCCCTCTACCAATCTATTTGTCTTTTCGACAGGATGTGTATCCTTGGAAATTTAATTCCCAGCCCCGATCCCCTTGCGTTCAAGTCTCTGTGATACCCAAGCATCGTACCTGCCAATTTTAATCTGCAGTACCAGCTCATTTACCTTGTTTCATATACTGCAAGGATTTAAGTACAGCACCCTCAGTCCTGTGTTACCTGTTTCCCCTTCTCATAGTTATCCCCTTATGTGCTGTGCGTAAAGTCAGATGTCTGACCCTTTCAGTACTATCTGTCCTATTATTTATTCTGGAAAATTTAATAACCTCTCCTGAGCAGCACCCGCCACCTTTAACTCTTTCAATAATTTTCCATTCAACTGAACCCATTC